CGATATGATAGAAAGATAACAGTGAAAGAACTAGAATTCCTTAGGTTGAATCACATTAGCTACCCTTCTACTTCCGAGAGTCAACGATATAAAATCTGAGGGCTGTAATGAATAACGCGAGGATGTCCCTCTTCATATGAGTCAACGGTAAGAAAAATTGTATCTTATGTTGGGCTGTATCTAAAGCCGCGTTTCTACTGCTGGAAGTCATATAACACTAAATTAGAACATAATATTATCCACGTATTCGAGGACACTGTATCACAGGCCGCCCAGTCACGTCCGAAAGTGGAGTGGTGACTTTAGACATTACGAGCCAGTCTGGACACGGCGTTATTCGTGCCGCCACGGTGCTCGTTCAAGCATTCGCCCCGAAAGGCCTGAAAGCCCTGAAAGGCCGCTGTCCTTGCAAGGGCGCTCTCGTGAATTACACCCGCGGAGTGGCGCGGAGGAGACAAGAAAGTTGCCGAAGGCATTCACATCCCCCTCTGCGGAATTTCAGGACAGAAATACAGACAGACGACACACCGGTGTGCACACTGCTCTCGGCCACTAGACGACGTGCGGGGGGCTCGTCCACCGAGACGCTCGATTAAGCGTTCAGACGCGGCGGAACGGACTCATTTCGAATTGCTGATCGATGTTTTTTGGCCACTGGGAAACGTGGACAAAAGGAGGACCCGACACTCTTCCTTTCGTTCCAATTCCACGGACACGCTGCTCCCCAGATGATTCGTGCCAGAGTTTACCTGAGTGCCCCTTGAATCCGTTGGCAAGAATGATTTGAAGCACCCTCTGTTGTACCTTACGCCCAAAGTTTGAGACTTCTAAATAGGAGAAGGATCGTTTTTGCAATGTATATAAATAGATAAATAATTTTGTATAGATAATTTATACATGTACGAAGGATATGTTGAAACTTTGATGTATATATAATTACTTTTAAAATTTGATAGATTTTTCGAAATATTAAGTCTTGAGTTATTTTTTTGCATGAAACGAAAAAATTTTAAATTAATCGTTTTTTTTTTAATTTCACGAAGTTACAAGAGTTAGATCCGGGGTTCGGAAAAGAAGAGAATCTTTTTCTCCCTGAACACATTCTGTCTCGTATACTTAGAATTCCTCGAGAATAATTACTCGTTTTGAATTGCGACGTTGACGTTCTGAATGCCTGAATTATTATTGTGCGGCGCGCTTGATTATCCCACCTCGCGGAACGAGATGAAATAAATGGACAGGAATAGAAGTAATTTGAATAGGAATCTTCTATCGTTGTGAAACGTTCTTAGAAATAGTGTTCTATACTGGTATTTAATTATCTACTATCTTATCGTTACTTATCTACTACCTTATACAGTCTGATCCAATAGAAACGCTCTGCCTTTAATATGTTCCGCCGGTTTAGTATCATAAAACATTATTTTCAATAGCCATCCGTTATTACAATCTTTTTTTGTTTATTGTTGTCTCCTTTCGTTAGAGTGAAATTAGTGTTGCGTATTACAAACGGGTATTAGAAAAATATGGTAATAACCATAAAACTTTGATCAATATTTTGATGGTTGACTACATTGGTAACGGAGTACTAGTCTACTAATAGGCTAACCTGTATTAATAACTACAATGTTCTAGTATCAACTAATACAGAGGTTTTGTCAGTAACGTATTTTTTAACAATGTTTCCTGATTTATATTCAATACAAACATCATAAAGGCGAATCGAAACTTCATTGTTGACACTGTGAAAGTTCAAGGTAGACAGCGCACGAGATTTTAACCGTCCGTTACAGAGGCGGCCATGACACTTTAAAACCATTGACGGTGTATGGTGTCTCGTTCGACGAATAATATGGAGAGCCTTGAAAAATTTGTTTTCTACAAAATTTCGCGTCTCATTAGCATACGAGGAATATCGTATCAAAATACGAAAAGAAAATCGTGAGAATATTTATGTTAATAACAGGAACTGCGCAATGCTACCTTGTCAGTGCCATAGCGATTAATAACACAGAATAACAAACTTTGGTTTGAACTCAGAAACAAACCTGGACGCTTCGAGATCTTTTCAGGTCACATTATTGAACAAGTACCTTTTAAAATTAGTACACTTTAACTGCACGATTCATCCGAATAAGATTATTCGTTTTTTTAACGATCACATAAAAACCGAATAATCATATCAACACGATTTCACACAAATATCAGGCCCAATGAAAACAGATGCAGGCCTGTTCGTAACCGGATGTTTTCATAATACGTATGTTTACGCCTCCGCGTGCAACATTCTCCCGCGTGCAGTTCGCGTGGCGCGCATGCGCCCCGTCGACTTCACGGCGTTCGTCGCCGCCGCGCAATATTCACATACCAATAACCCAGATTATTTAAAAAAAATGATCAATGATATAATTACCCTATCGCCGCGACGTAATTATCCAACGTTATTTCCTGCCACAGTTGACACGCGTACAACACGTCACGTCAGGTGATCAACTATTCCTAAAACGATCGTTCGTTCGAAACGTTTTAGCGGCGGCCGCTCAGTTGACCCGGCGTTCACTACCCACCGGCCGGCTGCCACAATTAATCGATAATGGTTGTTGGACTGCAAAAGAGATGGTTGCGCGACAGGTGTATAATCACTTGTGGTATTTATCATGCCCGATACCGCGTGTCACCGATTTTATACCTGTCTGTTTCTGTCATGGGAACGTAGTCTGATGCTGAATTGAGTCGGTGGCTCACGGGGCCCCACGATGAACACAGCAAACCGTCAAAAACACACGCAGAACGGGCGAACGGGTCGAAGACCTTGCGGTACTGAACGTTTTCCGAAGCCATCGAAAGATGGCGGTCCGGGCGATTTCACGAATTATCGAGCATCCGTCGATGTCACAGAATTTTTATTATTCCTCAGATAAATAGAACAATTTTGTACATTAAATAAAGTGTGTTTCGTTGGGAAAGAATAAAAATTATCGAAATTGATAAACACGCCACGAATTGAAGTCTGCGTATTGGTTCTACTGGGCAACGATTGTTCGAATAGTTCAAGGAAAAAGTTAAGCGTCTCATCTAGAGTATTGATTACAAAAGAACATTTGAATTTTTGTCTATTTTACAGATAATAACATTGGAACAAATGTTAGTAACAAATATAAGATAAATCTTACTACTTTTTTCTCTGAATCATTTCCTTGTATCGTTGATAACATCAGAGATACGTAGACATACATATTTTCGGTGGTCACATTAGCTGGAACACCTTGTATATCATTTACATATTTACGTAGAGTTTCAATGTGAGGTTCACATTTTCAAACTATATTTATCTACATTGATAGATAATATCGCGTTATTACAATCACCGCTGGTTAAAGTGAAACAAAGGGAATAATGGATTGGGGCGTCTAAATTTTTGTATTTGATTTAAACTATGTGCGTACTTATATTGCTCTGCATTATGGTGCACATTGTATCTGAAATGTTGACATTGACACATTTAGTATTATTCTAAGATTTTATTTAGTTACATTTCAGAAAATATTTAAACGATTCAGTTATTGCAACAGACATTCTTTATATAAAAAAAAAAGTTAAATTGTACAGAAAAAGTTATGTGATCTTTCGTAAATTTAATAAACTGTCGGGAAAATCGAGAAATGCAGATTGCTCAATCGGTAACAGAACTAATCAAGACAGGACGAGCTGCGTGATTCACCCTATATATTTGCACTTGACCTCTTGTCGTGTTTCATGCTCACGCGTTTTATTATTGATTCATGCAGATAATGTCGTTTGATAGCATTGGGAGCGATACACGATTACGTCTAGTTTAAAACGTTCGTGTAGCTCTCTCGAGTGAACGAATCGATTTAATACAATGAAGATCGTTCCTTCGAGTTATTTTAACATCAGTACGTAAAACAATATTTAACATTAGTATGCAATACTCGCAGCCTTTATTCCCAAGGCACGATCAATACAAAATACAGGAATCGACGAGGTGACATGGTACACACTCAAGTCCCGTTGCAATCACGGTACACGTGCTTCACTCCTTTCTTTCGTACTTATAGGTTAGCGCGGTATCCCACCGTAGATTCGTGACTGTAATTCCTTCTATAATAGTTGAACGTGTGTAACGCTACGGGCTCTACTCGAAACGATTGGCATTGACTAGTGACAAACGCGTAATCGTCTCTCATTAACAGTGCATGTTCTGAATGGGACACGAGTTCTGTAACAACATTGTGACAGAATCGTCAAACGCGTTGTGCGACACGATGAGAGACGGAAGGAATGTTAAACAACTTCGATCTAATAAACGATTTACACTTAAATATGCGCATTAACAACAGATATAACGTAAATTTATAGATAATTAATAACGTCGACCGAAAGTTTATCTTTGAAGGTTTGACACCCTGAACGTGTGAATTTTTTATGGTCGTCACTATTCCTCCTATCGAAACTATTTGAGAACGTCGCCGATAAGTAAACATACCGCTGTGATAATGTAACCGCAAAGCAAACTTTAACCACCCAATTAACAGAAATGGAAATAGAAGCAGATTCCCGATTGTAGCCGCGCAAAAGGTGTGGCTTAAAATTATTTACTGTTTTATTGGCGATTGAATGAAAAAATTGTACTTTAGATTCCTTCCAATTATTTATTTTTTTTTAAATAAAATTAGTCAATACCTGTGGTGAAAATTAATTGAAAATTAAAATTAAATTTATATGGTCGAACTATTTGATTAAATGTGTTACTGTAATCTAATAAGAACGTTGTTTATTAATTATATAGGATAGGCTCTATATTGTAGACTGATCGTGTTACGATCTGTTTCGTAAAAATAAATAGTAAACAGTAAATTTTTCTCCCCGGGGTTTAATAATAACGTGAACATTATTCGTGCATAATTCTCACACATGCCTATTTCCTTTTATTTAGACTGCGAGAAATTAAGTAGAAATATACATATAATAAATCATACCCGAATTGTTGCGACGAAACATCGGTTGGTCCGCTTGTACCGGCATCGATTATGCATAATCATGTCGCGATCGATTATCGTTCACACGGAGTCGTTTCACTTCAAGTAACATATCGTTCTGTAATAAATTCCTGAAATTTCTACCACTGCATTGTCCAACCGTTTAAATTCTCGACAAACGATATCTGTATCGACAAGGAAATTTAAATCTTATACACTGTACATTAACGATCGTCCCGAAAATGTTGTTCGATCGTTATTCGGCTCGCACTTTCGCTTGTTGTTTTGCTAAGTATATACCCTCAATCCTCTTATAACTTCGAAATATACTGGAGACTGGATAACCTCGTTCGTTCCACGAAACAATCGTTTCCATGCTTTCCAACAGCGGCTTCCGTATGTCCAAATCGCGAACCACTGCTACGTATAACCAGTTTGAACGTTCGCACACGGTTAACTGACAATGAAATGGAGCTTTGTAATTTCCAGGTCGTCTGCACCTATGTATAGTGAGCATGAAACAGATACCATCAAGGACGTACGAAGCACAGGTCACTTGTAATTTTGTATAATCCGCACTACTTATCACTAGTGTCATTAATATAACGAACAAACTGGATCCCAGGAGTATCCGAGGGCACGAACATTACCTGGGCACCACTGTTCTCTTCGAGTACTATACACATCATGTTACTGGAATATTTTAAGCTTTTTTAGTGATTTAGTCAATTTTGATGCAGTGAGTTGTTAGAAATTGAACAGCGAACACAATTTTTAAAACACCAGCATTTCTTGGGAAGAAGGAACTGACTTCAAACGTATTTGTAATTCTGGTCATTATGGAGTCATTCGCTTTTGATATTCATTAGAACAATATTCATTGAAATTTTATCAATTTTATTCGTATTTTAATGTTCTTATATTACAATTGCACTTAGTTTCTCTTACATATATTTAAATCCTTGAATTACTGCCTGGACTAAGGTAAGTCTGAATGATGTTATAACAATACGAATAAAACATGGAAGTTTTTTTTATTACTCGTTGTATTTCGGTACATCTGAATACAAGTAAGAATTAATTCCCTGAATTTTTTAAAAATATTGGAAATTACGAATTATTATGACCTCTCGAACGATAGATGATGGTGTGAAGTATTGATTGGTTCGTATAACCTTGTAATTATATCAAATAGATAACAGTGATTTTATAATACGTTTTGACTTTACGCCGTCTATTCGGGTCAGAAAAGATGCCATGGAACAGCATCCAAGTATTCAAGTAACCGGCTACTTAACCTGAACTCAGGTTCAAATCAATAAAAGTACTTATCGTCACACAAAAGCAGTGCGTTTCCAGAGTTGCACGTGGCGTCTACCCCAACTTTTCAATAGGTGATTTCATACCTCGCTGATATCGATTAATCGATAGACCAGATTCTGTTCCAGTAGGTCGTGCCTTCGTTGGTTAAAAGTTACTTGTCAATCAAATGTCTTTTTACGTATTTTCTTTTTTTAGTATTATTTCATTTCTAAAATGATATTTTATATAATTAACTTCTGATGTTTTGATCATCATTGCGTAGAATAAATCAGACCTAGATTCCCGTGATCTAATTGTTTTTGCTTTCGTGTAAAATGAGTTTGTTTTTCTAAGTTATTCTGTAAATTAAGAAGGACGCGGTATTTAAAGTAAATAATCGTTTAAAGTATTAATTACATATTTTACATTTCAAATGATTTGTAACAATTTTCTTTATGTCTTTTTACTATCAAATAGTTTGCTATCGCACCGCGTTAACTAAAGCGTAGGAAAATTTGAACCGAGGGGTTGCGGAAGTGGCGATCTCTACCGAAGACGAACGAAATGGTTTCGGCGGCGCTATCGATTCCGACCGAAGATTCCCGGAAATAGCCGAGGTCGCGAAAGTGACGTATGTACGTCAGTCAGTGTGGGCCGACCCGCGTATCATCCGTAGACTTCTGGAATATATCGAATTCGTTGTGTTGGGAGGAGAATCGGTAACGTCGCGACACGCGATCATGATTTCCCTATTAATAAAATTCACGTAGATTTCGCGAGCGAGGGAATCGGCTCACTGTCGTATGCTCGTGTACGCTAGCGTGAGAAAAATTCGCTGCTCTTATACGGGTGTGCGGTAGGGCTCTCCGATCAATCTTCAAGTTCACGACCCCGCGCTTATTTGGTTAGTTGGATTTATCCGTGATTGAATCGACGCAGAATCGATAGCGTTCCGACAATCCGTCTCTCGTGAGGTACATCCCGTAATCAATCCAGCCAGGATCGATCACTGTGACCTAACCTTGAAATCGTCACGTCCCGACCGAGTTTCCGGAGAAAATGCTTCCGTGAAAGTCATCGTTTTTCTTTCCTTACAGATTCAACTCGGTGGTCACCTACGGGTGAATAGAGATGGCCACCCCACAAACTCCAGGTAAATTTCTTCTTTCTCCTCGAAGTACGATTGACAATTGCGTCTTGGTTGATCTGTCATGTTGACAGCAACTGTCTACGAGGAAACAACGGTAGTTGTCAGTGATTTTTCATTTCTTACGTGTTATGGATGTAATAGCCAGATGTGTTGTAAACAACAAGAATTTCATTCAGAAAAGATTGTTTGACTGAATGTTATGGATCGACTATGGATCTTTATGCAAATACAGGTGTTTACGGACTAATTTACAGAGACTGAAATTAATCAGATATCTATTTGTTCTATTAAAGGTTCTGGGTAAAACATATAATAATAGGCCCACTCAACTGTATCAAATTTCTTACTATGATGAATTTTGAAGATCGTGTATGTTATAAATATATAAAATTGAGACAGTGCCCATTTTTCTAGGTATGGATCCCTGGGTGATCCAATCCAGGGAACGTGCAAGATACAGAGAGCAGTTTGAATCTTTAAAGCCAATCAATGGTGTTGTCACCGGGGAACAAGCAAAGGAGTTTCTACTTAAGTCTCAGCTTCCACCTCTCATCCTTAGTCAAATATGGTAGTGTTTTTTTTTTCTTGATAGAATGATTTATCATTTACTCTTGTTTAGGTGACCTACTTAAGTGGGGATTTTCTAAGCTCTGTATTTATGATGGGGATATATAACTCATATACTATATCCAATGTTGGACTGATATTGTCTTAAGAACAAAGACTTATAACTTACACTAACAATAAATAATGGTATCTGTAATTAATTGTTTAAATCTAATATCATGTTTATTGCATCTATTGAATTTACTATTAAGTCGTACTACTACTTTGTATTTCTCAGTAAGTTCCTTCTTAAGGAAATATTTTAGTTAGTTTTTTTCGTTATGCACTAAGGTAATAATCTGGTCATTTCCTTTGTATTATGCAATTTCTATGATAAAAATGTATTACAGTTCTAATATGCAATCTATTTCTTTGCAATTGATTATTATATATCCCAGCAATGAAGTATCATGCCAATGAAAATAAAACTGAACATTGATATTTAAGTTCCAGACAGCCTAATACAAGTATCAAATAACTGATATGTCCATTTTTATGCAGGGCGCTATCAGACACAGATGCGGATGGCAAAATGGATATAAACGAGTTCAGTATTGCGTGTAAATTAATCAATTTAAAGTTGCGGGGCTTCGAAATTCCGAAAGCGTTGCCACCGATTCTGGTGCAGAGCTTAAAGGCGCTTTCCGTTAGTGAGTATAACTAAATAGATATCAGTCAAGATTATTTTATATATTCTGATATACATGTATGTGTTCAGGCGATACTAGTGCAACAAACTTAACAAACGGAAGTGCTGGTATACCTCCGCCGAGTAATGTTGCTTCTTTAGTGAATTTAACTGGAGCGCCACCAGTGCCGGTGCAGCCCTTAATGGGTTGGAGTCCTATGACTGGATCAGTTCCACGTCCTCTTATAGGTCCTCCACCGTCAAATGGATCATTACCTGGGCATCCGATTAGACCAGCCTCACCAATGACTTTACCAGGTAATTAAATTACCATGTTCCTACTCGAGCCATCAGAGTGTATTTACAAATGGGTGCTCATTGTGAATCTGTGAACATTCGAAGAATTCATTTAGACTCCCACACTATGGTTAACTATTATATGTCACAACAGATACAGTATCACGTCTTGATTGACTTTGCAATTCTTATTCCATGATAACTAAATATACTTCATTTGTAAAAATTGAATTGAAACAACTTCCTTGTCATAAGTGGGATCCACTTCGATTCTTATAATTACTTACTATGGTTATCCCATATGAAAAACATTTTAACTAATGAGCAGCGTTATTTAGCATTATTTTACTTATGCATCATACTACACAGCATCACGACAAAGTAGACAGAATGTGGCTGCTGCTATACATGCCACAACTCACACACCGTCAAAGCCACCCGCTCGACCTGCACCACCCTCTGTGGGTATGTTACAAGAACTGGATGTTTGCGTACGATTGACTATGTCCTGGGTTTTTTTCTATTCGATCTTTTTTTAAAGGCTTATCAAGATATTAAAGTTCTTTGAAACTTTTCTTCTTTTTTTTTCTTTCCATTGAATGACATAACCAGCAGTATGAAATGATGTGCTATTCTCGTATATGCTTTAAAATTTTGAATGCAGAAGCCCATTTTTTTTGCATGAAAAATACATTATCATAATTTTACACTTTCGTCCCGAATGGTACACATATACGTATTTAGGTACCATGGTACATAGGCATTGGTATATTTTATATTCAGGGACGAAAGGGTTGAGTTTAATTTTCGATGTATTGTATTTGCTATAATGTGTATTAAAAAGTTTGAATTAATGGAAACTTTAAAAACTTCTAATTGTTATTAAGACAGTATGTAATAGGTAATAGAATATAACAAGCAAAACCAGTTAATATATGCGTATTTTAATATGAATATAGTATTATATTCTATGTTACACAATGTTGATTTCTCTTACACATACATATATGCAATATATGTATATATATAGGAACACAAACACAAATCATTAAATATATACTTTCGAGAATAAATTAAATTTCAAAAATAATTTTGTTTCCGTCAAAGTGGCTGCAATCGTTTACCTTGTTGCCATTTTGATGGAAACAAGATTATTCTCGAAACATTATTATCACACCTCGTATACACATTTTATTCTGCTATTTTTCTTATATGTCTACTACTTACACATGTACTACGTTTATACGATGATATGATATTTGTGCTGCAAAAAAAGGAATCGTGCCTTCTACAAGTACTACCACTACTACTACCCCTAGTGGTGCTCCTCCTCAAAGACCTGCACCACCCACAGATATTGGTATGTCTGAGGAAGCAAAGGAGATTTGGGAAAAATAGATAATGTTTCGTTGTAAATGAAACACATGAGATCGCATGTAACATTAGAGGATTAGTTTGTCATATTTGTAGAATTACATATTCAAGCAGAGAAGTGATTCCTTTTTCTATCATACATCATAATATCATACATTTCATGTTGAAAATCATCCCTGTGAACTATATGTATACCTACATGTGATCATGCTTTAATTTTATATTGATGTAGTGCTTTCTAATAACTTATAGCTTGTATTTATATTATATTTTTTTTTGGCAAATTGTTATCTAATTTGCTAATATATTGTATTTATTTAATGGTTTCGCATTGTACTTTTTCAAATCATATCAAGATAGAAGATTATTGAGTCAATGGATGGCTAACATTATATAATTTCAGGGCCAAATTTTCAACCTACTATCAGTGGCCCGCCGCCGAAACCTGCACCACCTTCGTTTCCCAATAGTCCAGTGGCAGCTGGAATGTCACCAGTGAAAGTGCCACCACCTGTGTCAGCTACACCAGTGCTTCCTCCAGTTCAGCCGATACAATCAATGGCTACTTCTGCCATAGGTAATATTCATTCAGATGGTAACTTTTAATTTAGTTTTTCGTTTCTTTGTATTTAATTCTTTATACTACACGAACAGACTTGAAATAGACGGTATATTGAGTTGTCAATGACAGTTTATTCTTTCTTTACAGATTTACTTGATCTTGATTTACCAGGTATTCTTGTTACATTAACAAATGGGTTTTTGTAGGAAATACGATTTTATTATTTTTCGTATGTTGTTTGATGATAAATAACTAAGTTTACATTTTTTTTTCTTTAAAGTACCTGTAAATTTCTTAATATTTTATGTTTCTTTGGATGTTTATTTTATTAACATAGAAATAACAGTAGCTCCAACCCACTACATTGAAACCTATATTTGTACAGTATTAATTTAATTATTCTCGATTGATTGTACATACAGACGAAATATGGACTTTGTGGGAATGACTATCAGACGTCAAGCATCTTTTACAATTATCAATTATTAATACATACTAAATGAATTGTAATTTGACCACACATTTTCTTTTTGAACAGGTATGCCCGCAGTAGCACCAGTAGCACCCTTAAATACAAATCCAACTCCAATCGCAGCTTTTGGTATGGGACCTGCAATGCCAATGCAACCATTGAGTACTGCTATGGGTGCTCCACTTGCTGGCCCTACTATTGTACCATCTGTTGCACCGATGCCTACTGGTTTGTATATTCTAAAAAATTAATCTAATAATATTAGTTAATAATATTTTACTTTCCCAGTGATAGTTACGTTTGCTTTCAGGTACTGGTGTCGTCTCAACCCCTCCGGTTGTAGGTTTACCCCTAGTGTCATCCACCGCAGCAAGTGGCGCGTTAGTGAACGGTGTGATTGCTCAGACTCCAGTATCCACGAACACACCGTTAAGTACAACAGCACGTCCGCCAAGCATAGACAGAGTTGGTTCAGTTGATTCACAGCACAGTCAGCACAGTCAGAACAGTCAGCACAGTCAACATAGTCAACACAGTCAGCACTCAGTGGGCTCTCCGCAGTCTGTAGAATGGGCTGTGCCTCACCAGACGAAATTAAAGAACACTCAGTTGTTCAACACTTGGGACAGAACACGGTCCGGTTTCTTGTCTGGACCCCAGGCTAGAAATATCATGGTGCAGTCGCAGTTGCCACAACTAATATTGGCACAGATATGGTACGGTAACATATTCGTATACGTTAACACTAAACCTACCGAACCCTTCAAGAAGATAGAAATTAGAACGACAAAACCGGTCATGGCAGGTTTAGTGTTAAACAGTGACTACTGAAACGATCCTGCCTAGCGTTTCTATAGAACCGTCGATTGCATTATTAGGGCGTTAGCGGACATGGACTCGGATGGTCGGTTGAGCTGCGATGAATTTGTGTTAGCGATGCATTTATGCGAAATAGCTAAGGCCGGTTCTTCCAATCGAACTGATTCCACCTGCGTTTAGACGTCAGCGGCAAAGTAGTCTGACACTTTCACAAAGTGGTGGACCGGAGAACGTGGATCCATTGGCTGGTATGCCGCAGGTAAGTTTAATTTTTACGTAAAATATGCCCTTAAAAATTATTTGTTGTACTTATTACGTGTTTATCCAACGTTTTTTTCCTTTTTTATATATTATTTTAAGACATCCTTCGAAGATAAACGTAAAGAAAATTTTGAAAAGGGTCAAGCAGAGTTAGAGCGTAGACGTAAATAAGAGCGTGAAAGGAAAGAAAGGGATGAAGCAGAGAAACAAGAGAAAATCAGGTTGGTTGATCCTCGGTTTAACGAAGTTTCGTAAGTTAATCGTAAATTTCGTACAGATTAGAGCAGGAGAGACGTAGACAAGCAGAAATCGAAAAGCAAATGCTGAGGCAAAAGGAGATCGAACAGGAGAAAGAGGAGCAACGGAAACGAGCGCAAGAACAGAGGGAAGCAGCGCGGAAGTGAGTGAAAGTTTCTAAAGAAGTCGTGAATAGATCGTAATGATAAACTGTATTTTATTTCACAGAGAAATGGAGAGGCAAAGGCAGTTGGAATGGGAGAAACAAAAGTCACAAGAACTGCAGGCGCAAAGGCAAAAGGAACAGGATGTGCTCCTCAAGCTGAAAGCAAAGAATCAAACGTTAACCATTGAACTTGGAACACTCGTAAGTGTTGAACAAGTAATCGACGAAGTAATCGATGCTCATATACGTTCGATAATCTGTCGTTGTAATTTGCACAGAATGACAAAGTGAAGGAGCTGTCGCAAAAAATCTGTGACACTAGGGTGGGTGTCTCCGGTGTAAAAACGACCATCGATGGAATGCGGTCGACTCGTGACGCGCAGTTACAGGAGATGGCTGCATTGAAGAACAAACTTCGAGAACAAAACCAAAGATTATTAGCTTTGAGCCAAGACAAGGCTCGTATCGAGGCGAAGAACAGGATGAACGCAGCTATGGAATCCGCGGGTCAGGAAGCTGTAAAGATGGCGTTCGACAACAAAGAGATCACCCTTAAGCAAATGAAGGATAAGATTGCTGATTTGCAGGAACAGGTATATATGTACATAAATTATAGTTAATGTCGGATGTTTAAAGTACCCTTGTGAGCAAACTCGACTTCCGCCAGGGGAAATGTGCCGTAAGAGTAAGGCCCTCCTACCACTTGGTAAATTTAATTTAAGTACTGAAATAAATGTTAAAATAACTTGGCATAAATTTCAGAAACTTTTGAAATCAAGTGGTAGGAGGCCCTTTCCCTATGCCACTTTTTCCCGTAATGGAAGCCGAGTTTACACGTCAGTGTACAATATTTCTGTTGATAGATCGAGGCGAAGATGGCTGACATAGAAAATAACAACGGCCAGCTTCAAGATATTAAGACACAAATACAAGATTTAGCCACCGATTGCAAGACTCTTTTCGTAACGTTCGAAGATAAGAAGATGAAGGTCTTAGAACTCAGAGCTACCGGTGGTGTCAGTGCTGGGACCGATTATACGTCTGCATGGGGTGACAGCGCTTGGACTGATACTAGCGAGGCAGTTAATGATAATGACTGGCCTGTCAGCGACGCTACTACAACTAACGCGGTGGAGGAAATTACTCCCGGAGTGATGAAATATAGGGCTCTTTATGAATTTGTAGCCAGAAATCAGGATGAAATATCATTTCAGCCTGGCGATATTATTCTGGTAATTATTTAAATACTTATAAACGTGTGAATTGATGTAGCAAATGAAGGGGCCAGCGCCATATTGGGCTATTCCACAAAAAACAAGTTGAGAAAATAAACTTCAAAGTTTAAGAATGTTTAATTGCTCTTGGTTTAGAATGAAACAAAAGAAAACCAAAAAATACAACGTTAACAGGTCGTTCATGCATTTATTCATCTTATTCGAATTTTGTTGAATAGCTCGCTATAGCACTGATCTGTTTAAGCGAACAATTAATTTATACACGAAATAGGTACCACCCGTTCAAAATGCCGAACCAGGATGGATGGCTGGTGAAATTCGAGGTCATACTGGTTGGTTCCCTGAATCTTACGTCGAACCGGTGGACGCTGTAACGGGAAGTGAAAATGTTTTCGTACAACAGGATAGCGTGGAAAAGAGAACCTTAGAGTTAGTTAATTAAATTAAAAGTATACTATACTCGAGTTAATGAGTTTTTGCCGGTTGAGCGTAAAAACCTCGAGGAATTTAAGGGGTAATTTCTATTTAATGCTTGCTAGACGTACACAAATATCGCTACAGAAATTAGCCTCACAGGTCAACACTTCTAAACTCGAGCATATTTCATTGAAACATTTTGGAATTATTGTTTACTTGGATGTCTGTTCTTGGCAGAGGAATAGCTGAAGTTCCGGAAAATGTATCAGACGCTGGATCATTGGGCGGAGAAGCTCCTGTTGTTGAACCTATCATACCTACCCTTGGACTGGGCGTTGCCTGTGATATTCAAGTAACAACTCTGTACCAATATCATCCTACGACGGAACAGCACTTAACCTTTGAAAAGGGAGATATAATTAAAGTCATTGAACAGCAGGTGAGCATAACCTGTATATATTACCCAAGTATGCAACATAACAGACAAACTATAAAACGGACATCTCATGCGAATGTGTGTCACGTATCTTGAAGAACAAATTCCGTAAAATATTCACGGTGCGCCATCTGCGATTGTGATCGGTGATATTCTTAACTGCATACTTGAAATATGAGTCTAGTTTTTCGATAAATGCATAATATACGGAATCAATCAGTGTAAAGACACAATCACATTGTTTCCATTATTCGTGGCGAAATTAAAACATTGAAATGAACTAAGATACTCAATTCTATAAAGACTTATTATTACTTAATTAATTAGGGTGATTGGTGGTATGGTACGTCCAGTACCGAAGCCAGTGGCTGGTTCCCCAAATCGTATGTGAAAGAGATTACTGCCAATCAAGCTGCTGTGGTTGATGGTCTCAATGAGTACTATATGGCTCTGTATTTGTACGCTTCCGCTGAAGCCGGGGATCTGACATTCAATCAAGGAGAGGTTATATTGGTCACTAAGAAGGAAGGCGATTGGTGGACAGGCACTATAGGAGACAGAAATGGAATTTTCCCGGCCAATTATGTAGAGAAATGCGATGCTCCAGATCAGGTACAATGACCTTTTAATTACCTTATCTTTCTAACATACGGGATTTGTTTTCAAGTTTGAAGTTTGTGATTTCATGTATAATAATAGTAAGTAGTAAGATTTTTAAGTCTAACGTTATATGTAACGGTAATCAGGGTGTCTCTATGACTACTAACGAGCCTGAAACAATTACGACTGCTGCGACGCCTACGGACGCAACTGCAATTAGCCATGAAGCTCCGGTAGTCCAAGCAGCACTGGTTTGTAATATTTTAATATTCGAAATTTTCTATACTTCCAATCCGAAGAAATTATATCAATCGTCCTATATTATTATAAAGAGCTTAATAGATTTGACTTTGCGAGCATATACTGTTAGTAATTAGATTGTAGAACATACAGTAAGCTAGATACGCTATACTCATGTTTAGCAAGAGGAAAAGACTGCTGAGCAGCTCGAAGATGAACGAGCGGCCGCGGAAGATAGAGCAGAATTGCCAGACTTTACCGCAATGGCTGCGCAGCAGGTAACTAACACGACGATTGCTTACGTACGCGTATACTTGAAGTTTGTAATATTTGTGGTTTGATGAATCTTAATCGCTTCCCATTCTGTCCCCTCATTGCTGGCATCCTGCTATTGCAGTATTATAAGGTACTTAACCTTCTATGAGATACAGCTTCGTAAAAGCCTCCCATTATTCTTAATAAATACACAGGGTGTTGTTAAATTAGTGGTGTTAATCATATTATAATGTTTCTACAATTCATATTTTTGTTGATGCAGCGAGGAAGGAAACCTGAAATTGTTCAAGTTCTTGCACCGTATCAAGCTACCAGTTCTGAGCAGTTAGACTTACAGAAAGGACAGTTAATAATGATACGTAAGAAAACTGACAGTGGCTGGTGGGAAGGAGAGTTACAGGTACAATGATGCATTCATAATTTTAAAGTGATAGTAGATCGCTTGTGACAATTGTTATTTTGACGTTGTATTCATAGGCACGCGGTAAGAAGAGACAAATTGGTTGGTTCCCAGCATCTTATGTCAAACCTTTGACCAGTAGTAGTAATCGAAGTACACCAGTCTCTCATGGTTACCAAGAGTCTCCCACAGATCCAAATGTTGGTAAGTAGCCTTTAAATACTCTGTACTTCTTCGTATCCACTACATGTAACCCAACATACAATATTAAAATGATTTATAGAGCGTGTCATGGCGTTATACCCGTACCAGGCACAAAATGAGGATGAGTTAAGCTTTGAGAAAGGTGATGTTATAGTCGTGACTGCCAAAGACGAAGCAGCGTGGTGGAAAGGCGAATTGAACGGATTGTCTGGTGTATTTCCCAGTAATTATGTATCACCTATGTGTAAGTATTCATTTCTTCATAGTCTCACGTTCACATTTCAGAATTTGATTACGAACTTGTTCCTAAGCAAGAATGTTTCTTTTAATGTATATCATAGATATTTATTAAACAAGATTTTGATCAACTGTATATATAGCAAAATGGTGCTATAAAACTTGTGTGAAACATAATCATTGTAGTACAGTTTCGATCTGTGATACACGGATAGACGGACGACCGTCAGGTTTAATTTTGATCACTAATTATAACCTAGAAGTAAATTGATGTTCTGCATATCAAACTGTTGATTACATATATTGAATTCATTATGACGGTCGTTTAGTAGGACCAGATACATAATACTTTCCTAATACATGTACGACAAACCTCTTCTACTGTTAGTAACGTATACCTGCACACTTTATGTTGCTTACATTGTTACTATGTATCGGTTTGTCTTAATACATGTTAAGATGTATAATCGCGAATGTATTTAATCGCATTTAAGGTATTCGTGTCCAACTAGTTGCTTTTTTTACTTAAGAAACTTATAGGTTAGAAGTATAATTAGGAATACCAGTACCGAACACACATCGATCTGTTAAGCTCTCTCTCTCAGTTTCTCTTATACATAGATCCAAACTTTGATCATCGTTGCCGCAATTCGTAAGAACTGCGTCTTAATCGGTGACAGAGTATACAAACACAATGCGTTCTTTAAAGTTACAAGTATACATAATTTGATGTTTCATTTCTGGTCTATTTATAATCGATAGTTTTTGCGGTATATAAATTATTAGAGAAGCATACTTATCTCTATCGTATATAGCCTGCCTGTCTGCCTGCATGCCTGCCTGTCCGTCCGTCTGTCCGTTTGAGGTAGCTGTTTCGTTCCAACGTAAAACATTCAATAAATCCACCATTACACATACATATTATAAAAAAAAAATATATATATACATACATATTTTATCCCTACGTTACGTTACACATTTCTACCTAGAAACATACGTAACGTTATCGTGTTTTCATTTTGACACTTTATAATTAATCAATATAATTTCGAATCATTCATATCGATAATTTTAATGGAAAACACGTAAACCATACCGTACTTTATAATCTGAACGTGAAGAATTGCCCGTTCAGCAAAGTTCTGTAAGTAAAACTAGAGTTATACGCTTTTAAAATTAGTTTCTTTCTATAATTTGCTTATTGTTTGATTTACTTTCGTAACACATCTAAACGGTAGTATGTTGTTATGTTGTTGGTATTTACAAAATGAAATAGCTACTTCGAGCAGTTCGCACATATTCGTCTGATACGATATCTTTTGAAACAAACGAATCCTTTTTACTAATTGTTCTCTTTCGCCTCTGCTTGACATGCAGCATAAAGGATAGCAGAGCAGCACCGCAGCATTGCAGGCTAAAATAGAAACATCTGACGTGCAATAAGAATGATAGCAGACTCCTACGGTTCAACACACGACGCGTTGCGCAACCGACAAGTCTCATCGGCGGCGAGACAGTGAGCATAGAAATGAGAAACAAAAAGAGAAAGAAAGACTCAGGGGCTGGTTCTTCGTTTCTATATTAATCTGAATTATAATGCAAAGCCTTTTTCCCCCCTATGGTAACGGGGCCCTGCTCGCGTTCCTTTGTTTTCATTGTCACACTCGAATTGTTATCCCGTGCGAGTACTCATCGACCCCATTAATCCTTCATGCTCTATCGAATCTCTATGTACGATTTCAAAAGCGGAATGTCGTCGCGCAGTATTTATAAAACGTATACGTACTACGAGTACCGCTAAACATATAAGAAAAACGACATTATATCATAAATATCATTACGACCACCTGACATGTGCACCAAATTCTACCTCAACCCCTCTACTTTGATCAAAAAAAAAAAAAAAAAGTCCAAAGTCGAGGCAAATATGGTTTCTTCGTCTACTTAGAGTGTAACAATCCTAGGCACTATCGATGCTTAACGTTTCGATCGAATGTAAATTCATTTGGAGGACACTCTATTTTTTAGTACAGATTAACTGCAGTCTATCATTCTGTTCTAGCACTTTTAGCCCAATATTTCAGTTTCCACGTAACGTGTTTTCTTTGTTTAAAAGAAATTCATTGTGAAACCAGCTTGAATAGAAACGATTATACTTGCGGATAGATCTGCGATAAAATTGGTAGTACCTTTCACTAGGAGCAAGGACAATAAATATTAAACTATCTATCTGTAATTACATTTGAACAGTACTTTGTGTGTACATAAAAAAAAACTTACTGGAAGGAAACTGCAATAGAAATAAATGTTTTTTTTAGAAGTTATTCACACGTCGGGCTTAAAGTGTTAGACCAATAGAAAAATAGATGCGCAGGTTGTTAAATAGTTATTCCGAATTTTCGTGACCAGTGCTCTCGAAGGAAATGTTAGTGTTAAACGATTTATAATACTGCCCTTATTTCTGTGTGTTTTTCTGGTTTTTACAAGCTATGTAGTATATCATTTGGTGCGCAACACAGATGGTTTGTACAGTTATTCTACTGCGCCAAGGCCTAGTGCAAAGGCTTCATGGCAATTTGAAGTACGAGCATCTGAACATCATTTTTCTGCTTGCCTTCGATGTTAAGGGAGAAGGAGTTGTTAAATCGCTGGCTGAATATATATATTTCGGTCGAATTTTCGTTTAACCCTGCGAACTGTTATGGAGAATCTGTTGAAACATATAAAATAATGCCCATTTAGTCTTGAAATCTCGATCAGTTATACAATTCATATATATATATATATATATATATA